TCCACACTTTCACACCAGCAGACAAATTTGCACGAAAAGTGTGTCCGTTTTACAGACATGATCGAATGTGATAGAAATTGAAGTCACAAGATATTTCTTAAGTAGAAGGTCGCGAATTACTTGCCACTTTGATTATTTCGACCATATGACAGAATGCGTGGATAATGAGCATTGAGTGCCGACATTAATTCTCAGCGTTAGCAAAATCCTTGATAAAGTCCCAGATTACAGACTCCTAACGAAACTCCAGTCCTACGGAATAACTGGAAAGCTTCTCACGTGAAAAACATCTTGTCTCACGGAAAGAGAACAATTAGTCAAAATCAACAATCAGCTGTCCACACCTAAGCCAATAACTAGCGGTGTAATACAAGGTAGCGTTCCAAGCCCTATTCCATCCACCTTATTCACAGAGAACGCAGTCTCTGCGGTCAAGTATGGCAAGCTGCGCCTCTTTGCGCATGGTCTCGAGATAGTGTATAATTGTGGGTACGATGACATGAGCGTTGAAAGTAAGATCCACCACGACTTAAACAGCTTGGACGGCTGGAGCGAAAGTGGCGACTGACTCTCAACCCAGACAAGCGCGGCATAGCCCACTTTAGACGTTGGAAACCAAGCGTGTGTCTATATATGTACAGTAACCTCCTCTCAGGACTGGACATAGTCACGAAATTTGGGATAACATATTCAGATTTAACCCCTTCTGATCATGTAAATAAGGTAGTACCTGACTGTAAACGAACTACTGGCTTTGTTCTGCGAAACTTTCACACTCCAGAAGCAAAATTAGCTACATATTAGACACGTATTCGCCACAAAGTTGAATATTGTTCTCTCCTGTATGGTAACCTAGGGTCTGCAGACCGAAAGGAAGCCGAAAGTAATCAGAGATTCCTCATGAAACGCATAATAGGGTTTGACCAGCAAGTGGAATATGTTGACAGTTGTGTACGACTGAAATTAGAATCTCTGTGGTTAAGGGGGGTGAAATGAAACTTATTTCTACTCTTCAAAGTCATTGGGAAACACTGTTACAGTAACTCATCCATGACGTCAGCAAATACTTATTCATATCAGCAGCGAAACCACGACTGTCTTCTCAAGGTGACTGACCTCAGAAAATCCATTAGGGCAAACTTTTTCACCATTAAATATTGCACTGTTTGGAACCAACTACCATCGTAAATTAGATATTTTGAAAACTCTTATGGGTTCAAACGGAGCCTAGAAAGACACATTAACATGTCCGCCCTAGCTCGTCTAAAAGACCACAACTCTTGTTAGAACGGAAATTGAAAACCAGTCCAGTCTTCAGTATAGTCACGTACGTATAACTCGACTCTACTACTTGCACAACCAACGCCTAACTAATTTACTGACTTTCTATTCTCTATAATCTTCACCAAGTTGTGTTGGTATAAGTAACTCTAGAAACAATTATATTAGCAACCACGCATTTTAATATTTTACATATGTACACAGTTAATAATACAATCTGCTATTTTTGTGCTTAGCTGACTTTACTCAGTCAATAGCTGCCTTTTTCACATACTTCTCTAAAATGTGTAATTTTATAGCATTTCTTACTATTTTTAACATAACATGAGTTGAGGAGTCACTTTACAATGTCTGACGCATACCACATGAAAATCGGTAACGAAAATTTAGCATAACAAGTTCTGATAACCAGCTGTTTTACTCAGGATCATTCGACATAATTTTATCAATGATAGTTCCACTACTCATTTCACTCTGCTATATAGACTATAACTTGGTAGCCATGGGACTAACTGCTCCTACACTTTATGATTTTCATGGGAAACTTAATTTCCCGGTCAATTGTAACAACTACTCATAAACATGTATACATGTATAAAGGTGATACTGCCAAGAATGTCCTCAGGTATCGATGTGTCCGTTGCCCTAATGGGAAGCATTTTTCATGAAAGCCATTAATGTGCAGCGCACTGTATGATTGAGATGAGCTCAAAGAAGTCTGACGCCACAACTACAGTTATTGCGAAAAATCTCAAAGCTTAACATCATAAAGGAGGTAGGGTGATGCATGCTGATAAGCAGATGTGGTGGTGGTCACAAATGTGAATCGCTACAATCTGTAGGGTAGGAGCATGCATTTTTGACAGCTCGAGAATGAAACATGGGTGCATATCGTTACCAAAAAACAATAAGTGTTGTACAGATCTAAAGCTACTCTTGCCCCTACCATCTAAAAGCTTGTTCAGCTTCTTGTCAAGATACTACCCCATGGGCCCTACAGAAATTCGTGAAACATCTTATAGGTTAGCAAGTCCCACAGGTTCCAACCTTTCAGACCTTTGAAGCCACTTCTCGCTGAAATATCGCTCAAGTACTTCGCGATCATTTTTATTCGAAGCACTATGATACTCTTTTTATCTTAACTACCTGGGCCTTTAGTTAGGCAAAAAGTTGGCTTTTTGTTCGTATTCGTCGCTTGCTTAAAGTCTGGTTGATCTGATGGAAGGAACATAACAACAGCACCAATGTTTCAGCAAAGCCATATTTTCATCGAAAACATCATTGTTTCCACGGTAAGACCAATATGGTTAACATCAAACATTGCAAATGTATACGTTATTGGAAGCGTGAGATTGATAATCACGAAGGATATCATATGAAGAGGCTAAAATCCTAGGGGCATCCTGGTCCTTTATTCTAGAACTTGCAGTCGTGGAGCACATCGCCCTACACAGTGCAGCCTCAAATGAAAGCTTAATACAGGAGCTAGATAGTTGCCCAGTAGTAAAGTACTACCAGAATGACCGGACTGAGCCAAAGTTCCAGCATTCACTTCAACTGGCAACTGCTGTCAACTTATTTCCAATGGCAGTATCCCCACCAATATTACACCTTGCTTTCCACCTTTACTTTCGCCTTGTTCGTATTTTTTGCATTCATCTATCTGTTTATTGGATTCTCCTTTATCTTCTTGGAAACCTTTTGACTGCTGATAAATTCATCGGCCTTATTTCAGGTTTTAAAACCCTACCGAACGAATTACTGATGAAAATACTGACTCCAGTCAACACAGCTATGCACTAAATACACTAAACTTCCCTCATAATTTAACCAAGTTCTCGTTATCTTCTAGATAAGCAGAAATTCACTTAAGGCCAGGGTTTTCTCTTAAATGACCGGAAAATGTATTCAAATTATCAACTGGATTTATACTAACTTGCAAGTAGGCCATTGGATATTGAGGAGGTCGTTGACAAGGTCAATCGTTTATAGCGGAGCTATTGTAGATTTGTTGAGTTCTCGACCCTACTTTCAACACTTTTCACATGTTAATAAATACCTTATTTATTCGTAGCTCTCTTATGGATTTACCGACCTGCCCATGTTGCCTCACTGAGCGGATATAGGTAAAACTGATTAATCTCCCCGAAAATGTCAAGCATTGCAACTTCTGGTGTCGTTCCTTCACAAATTGTGGGAAATATTGCCGAAGGTACAAACTCGACTCTTGTTCAGAAGCCACACAAAAATGTTCAGGATTATGAGTCGGATTCAGAGTCAGATACCTCCACAGACATTGAGGATGACTCAAGCGATGATGATAAGCGGCTGGCTGACAATCCAATACTAAAGGAGCGCTTAAAGCAACTTGATAGATATGCTACTCCTATAAAACATCATACCCATTCTCCAGTTCAGATAATAGATCAGCATCCTATTCCAGGAATATATGCCACAAACGTGCCACCGGATAACACACCTAATAATGGTTCACTTTCTATTCATGGAAAGTCAAGTGGACCTTCTGAGCTGATGGATAGCAGTCTAACACCTCCTGAATACCGTTCTCACCAGTTTTCTGCTGCTGAGTCCCCTACCCCTTGCAGTAGTTCCGCTTCCCTGGGCACATCCATTACTTCTAAACATAATCTTTCCCCACCAAATACCATTTTGGGAACAAGCACAAATGTTTCTGGACCGATTTCGCAACATGAAATACCAGATGTATCTGTATATGCACATTCATCAAATTCTTTATCATGTAAGTCTAGTGAAATTCCATCCACATACACATATGGTCAATCTCTTAATTCATCTAATTTAATTCATTCGACTGATGTATGTTACAATGAAGTTGGAGACAATCAAGCTTGCGTTTGTGAAGTTTGTCATGTTGTTTATGCAAACCGGTCTTCCCTTCGAAGCCATATGAAAAAGCACTTAAATCAAAGTATTAAACGACACCAGTGTGATCAGTGTCCTTATTCTACACAGTATGGCAAGAACTTATTTAAGCATATAGAATCAATGCACACTGTTGATAGCTGTCAAGAATATCGCTGTGAAGGCTGCACTCGATCTTTTACAAATGAGGATCTTCTTCGGGATCACGACTGTATTGTAACTCAGTATAACACCTATCGGTGTAGTGAGTGTGGCAGAGTATTCAAGACAAAATTGCGTTTGAAGTATCACGCAGATGTACACAACCCTCGGAAGCCTTATGTGTGTGACATAGATGGTTGTGATCGGGCATTCCGTACCCCGAAATATCTCAAAAACCACCGAGATGAGTTTCACAGAATGCATCCCAAAAACTATGCTTGTCCTGTAGGACAATGTGATCTAATCTTTCATCGGAAAACCCACTTAAAGCGTCATATCGCCACACATGATGGTAAGAGCTTTTATTAAAACACTTCATAAGCTACCGTTTAATTGTTGATTTATTCTACTAGGTCGACAAAATGAAACGGACTGCTACATAGCGAAAACACCAAATGACTAGTTAGTTAAGGCTGTGAACGGTAGTAGGTGCACTATCGTTTAGTTGCTTTTTTTCGTCAGTTGTCACTGTCAACCATACGATGACGCGTTTAACCCTCTTATTTATGAATTATTAAGTATCTGATTTCAGACACTAGATCATCAGCTCTGACAATACTATACACAATTGTTGTCAATCAATCTATACGTTACATCTTGTTGCCTAGTGTGTACAGCTGTTATTCGTCTATAATTCACTTTTGTGCTAGGTCGGTTTGAATACCTGTTTTCTCACCACTCTAAATCGTTTTACCGATTAAGACAATTTAACGTGGAATTAAAGTAGACTGTTATTTCAAGGCGTTTATTCTGTTTTCTTTTAAAACACTCCATCTTACTTGCTGCTTAAGTAAGAACCTGTACATTGCGAAGCCTAACGCGCTATTTTTGTCAATGTACCATATTCGTATTTGTGTTTTGTACTATATGGTGAGGGTTGTTGCTGGGATTTATAGTTATGCATCATTTCATTGCCTCGAATGTCTTGTTATATATTAATATTTTAATGTGCTACTCACGGTTATTCCTCTACAAGAGCAGTTCTATCCAGTATTCAAAATTGGTTAGCTGAAAGTTGCTCTGATGTTAACAATTCAGTGGTTGTCGGTGTGCACACCGTGTGATGGTTCATAGGTTTCTGGCGGAGCTGAATGATTTTGTTACTCAGCTTTTACGGTTTGTAACCAAAATTTGTTTTCCATAGTAGAAATACCTATGTAATATCACTGATCTTCCTATGAGAGTTGTAATTCATTTTCTAGTTCACAAATATTCATATAGTTGATGATTCACTATCGTTTTGTAATTCATGAGTGAATGCGTGATTAGTGCATCCACATTCCTAATTCTTTCAATTCTTTTGTTATTACTTAACTCACTGGGTTAAACAGTTAACTTTCAACTGAAGGATCCCACGTTAAAATATGTTGTTCTACTTTGTTTGACTAGGACAACAGAGTAGTTTCATGGACCACCGCCCATGCATGTCTCCTAGTACATAATAAATAAATAAAATAAGTTTAATCAGAACAAGTTGCCTGTGAGCGAACAGTTGTTTTTGATAACTTCTTCCTCAGCCTTTACAATTATAAATCCATTAATATTAGAGTAGAGTAATAGCCAGTAATGGCAAGTGAGAATTATATCCGAAGCTATATTGCGGTACATATATGAGATGAAATGATAGTTAGTTAATATTGTCAATTGAAAGTACATAAAGTGTAGTCATTCAGAACATAACGTGAAGTGTGAATTGACCACCAGGTAACATACTAATATATTTATAGTTAACAGAATATGTTTCTTTTGGGGGCAGTGAGTCATATTCAGTAGTGTGAGAAATATGATTACAACAAAATACCAACAAATGGGGAACACTGAATGTAGGCTCAAAGCCTGCCAAATGTCAAGTATAATGATAAAACAGAGGCTAAACTGTGAACCGTAATAGAATACCAGAGACAAAATAAGCTGTGTAAATTACAAAGGTTGACAGATAGTAAGAATAATAATGGAACGAAGTAAACTAGGTGAAAAAAGAGTAGGAAAGGCATAATATAACATGAAAATATGTCATCTGGTTGTCTACTCACACTTCATCTTATGTTCTGAATGACTACATTTAATATAGATTCAATTGACAGTATTTACTAATAGTCATTCCATCTTATACATGTACCCCAATAGAGTTCCTGATATAATTCTCACTTGCCTTTATTGCCTATCACTATATTCTAATATTAATGGATTTAAAACTGTAGAGTCTGAGGAAGAAGTTATCAAAAACAACTGTTCGCTCAAAACCATCTTGTTCTGATAGCACCATGGGGATTTTAAATTTACCCAAAGATAAGTTTGTCCTAGTAACTGGTTGGCACTAGTTCGGATGACTAAATAAATATCGTCAGGCCTCAGATTCGTTGCCCACACTCTGCAATTTTGTCACTCCTGGGACTTTCGGATAATAATCATGCACCATCTGTATGTGCTGTGGTAAAATAGAGGATTAACAGAAATTTAGTGTATTATCTAGATCGCCTTTAAAGTCAACATATTTTGTAAGTACACCTGGGGCTCGCTCATACCTGGTGATAGACTCACACATAGATTGATCTAAAATATTCGAAAGTGGGCTCTAGAAACATTTTTCCCCACACTATTATATTTAGTTTCTAAAATAAATGCTGTATATTTGCTGTTCAGAAGTTGGCTCTGGATCCAGACTCATGGCATTATACATGATGCGTTTATCGCATAACGGGACAGAGCGATGGTTGCACTAGAGCTCTACAGAATATACTAGGTGGAGAAAAATGATAGTTATGTGGAGTTGTGAAAGGAAATCCTCCGTTAGATTTGTAAAGATATGAATGAAGTTTCAACAGGTTTTATCACAAATCTGTATCTGCTAGAAAACGAAAAGCTGCGCGTGTGCACTTCTAAGCAGTGCAAGTTTTGTATTCTCCATTTTGTTATTCACTATCTCCCTGCCTCCTTCCGACTAACTGAGAACATTCCCTGTGTCACTCAAACACGTGCAGGTCTATGCAACGAATGCGTCACTAGCGTAAATGAAAGCTATTCTTTAGAAGTTACTTCGTCACTTCTTTTGTATGACCCCATGAAGTAAAAAAAGCAAAAGGTATCCCTATTTTTTTATTATTACAGTTGAATTTCTACAAGTTTTTTGTATGAAGACACTATAGTGGTCTCACTTCACAATGATAGTATGCTTATTTATCAAGTGTTGGTTTGCAGGAATTTGATTGGTTGCAGGTTTGATCACTAGCTGGACAGACACTTTCTGCTGAAGAGTCCCAGACTAGGATGACACAGAGCTGCCCAGTACTCCCAGATTTTCCAATGGTTGTCTAACTGATATCAGCTTGTGATCAATCCAGTATGCTTATATCACCACTCACAGAAGTTGGGTTGATACGATATACATCAAACCAATTCCTTTCCCAATTAGCACTTGTTACCTTCCACACTAGTGGTAAGCCACCTAGATCGATGCTTTTTAGATGTCGCATTACGTGAAGTTCCTTTTGAAAACACTTTCATTTGTAAAAGTTGCAATTAGTATTAGAGTAGACATTTTCGGTTAAATTAACTGAGATACTGTTCGGTGCATTTTTAAAGGTGTCTTTTGGAGTTATCAATAAATTTTCAATTTAAGAACCCCAAGTTTCTTCCTGATGATGTCATAGATGTTAGATGCATTGTTCACTCCCATCACAACCGTGCAACATATCACAAACTAAGAAGTACTAACTAGATATTTATTTTCTGGAGTAAGCAAATAGGCGTAGAGAATTCTTGGGAACTCATGCAGCTGAATTATGTATAAACGGAAATTTTTACTAGGCCTAAAGCAGTCTAACTATTATTATTATTCCCTGGGGGTCCGAGTAAAACACAGGGCTTCTACAGAACATCTCCATTTTGTCCTATTCCCTGCAGTCCTCTTCAGCTGGCCCCATAGTTGCTCATAGCCCTTCATCTCCTTCATGTCACCTCCGGATGCCCAAGTTGTCGTTTCCCAATCGGTTTCCACTCAAGGATTTGCCTGACGCAGGATGTCATCCAACACTCTCAGCGTGTGTCCGGTCCGTCTTCATTTTCTTCGGCATATTTGTTGAGCAACAGGTTCTTGTTTGTTTCTTGCTGCTTATTCTTTTTGGCCTAAGTTACTAATTTGCTATTTTGCTAGCCAGTCTTAAGCCCAGGAAAGGAGGGAAGGTTTGGCGTGAGGCTAGCGACCCTACCCTGGAAAACCAATCTGCTCACTAAAGAAACTTCAAAGCACAGGAAAAATCAGAGTAACTAGTTTCTTTTATTTTGTGTCAGTGGTCCTGGTCTGTGTATATTAGCAAGCCAATAGCCAGTCCTAGATATATTATGATTTCGCCTTGAAGTTGAGATTACTACAGTTTCTGTTCATTGTTATACTTTGAATACTGGAATTTAGAGTACACGTGGCATGTGTTAGGTTATCAACAAGATCAAAGGAGAAGGGGACTATTTCTCCGCAAATCCACGTCATCAGTTGCCTGTAGTAGTAGCAGTAGCAGTAGTAGTAATTTCATGTTTATTGGCGAAGATGTCTATTCTTGAGGTTATGATTGGTTAGAAATGTGCCACAACTAATACAAGGCTTCAGAAATTTAATTAAATATCCCTTATCGATATCTTGACTAATTTTCTTCCGTTTACATGTCTTACCTAGCAAAATACTTATCCAACTAGTGGTAAGATAGCAATTGTAGTTACTCTGAGGCTAAGATTTATCCTTCACTAAAGCTCCTAATTTTATCCACTTGGTTCTGTCTGTTTTCGACATAGAACTTTGCACCGATGTGCGGCAGTTCAAGTCCCCACACTCAATGTAGCACACAAAGCGAGAGAAGAAAATAGAAAAAGTGCATAATAGAGACAGTAAACAGAGGTGTGAGACAAAGGAATAGTAATAACGAAGAACGATATAGTTTCATAAGTCACAAGGAGTGGATGCATCTGCGTTGTCATTGAGAACGATTTTGAGCCATATCACCAATTGTTTCCAACCATTGGTTTTTACCGTCCCGAGGACCCCAACCAGGAAGTCTACACCTTCCTACGTAGCTTAGACTAACTGTTGTAGATTTCATTGACTGGTGCCATGTTTTCGTTTGACAGCCGCTAGCTCTTTCCCAGTCTGATCCTATGTCAGCTAACATTCCCCGTCGAGGAAGGTGATGACTAGGCATACGTAACACATGTCCTAACCATCTCAGTCGATGCAGCTGCTTCACAGCCTCGTCGATTGATTTCCCCTCCCACCTACCTAGCACTCGACCGATGCCTAACCTCAATATTGCTCACCTTATCATACCACTTCACACTGGAGATAGAACGCAGGCACCTATGATCCACTTGATTAGTTAATTTTCTATAGTTTTTTACACCTAGTCAACAGTGTCTGCAACGACGGTAACTGTTACTTTACTTAATTTATTGTAGTCCCACTGATTAGGATGCCTAATTCGTTTGACTGAGTTATGCATCCATCCACTGTCTTTGATGCATACAGCTTTATACTATTGCTGACTTTTGCATAATGAATTTGCTTATTGGATGATGACGTAAACAGTAACCCGAACTAATTTTATTTTATTTTTGTTTGACAATCGTATTGTACACCTAAGTCAATGAATTCGCTGAAAAGAGACTTCGCTGAACTTTGTTGCTCTTTACATTCAATACTTACTTTGTCACTATGTCTCATGAAAATGTATTTATATAATTACCTGTGTTTTATAACTCTCTGAAAGGTTTTTCTATAAACTGATTATTCATTAGCGTATAACATCCTTCATTTTTAAGAAGACAAAGTTTTTCAATGTACTGTGTGTTGTTTTAATACATTTTAGATTCTGAAAAGAAATACCAATGTCAATGGCCTAATTGTCAACGACGATTTTGTACTGAAGAAACGTTGAATCTTCATCATAGTAAACATACTGGTGAAAAGCCTTTTAATTGTTCCCTGTGTTTGTATAATTGTTATGATAAACCAAGTTTAAATGAACATTATCAAGTCAATCATTCAAAAGACGCAAATTTTGATTATAATTTCAAAGATCTTATTCATCGAATACCATCAACCACGCATTCGTCACAATATCTGTCAGAGACACAAGGTTACAGAGGATCCTGTGGTGGTGGTGATGATGATCCTAGAGCTTTCGTAGCACGAACATCTACACCTGTTTCAACTGTACGTCATAGAATGGCTGATATCTTAGACTCGTGTACTCCTGACATTCCTGGACCTCTTGATGCAGAGATTAATGGAATTTTAGATAGCCTGGATAAAGAATCAGATCTACCAGACTTATTTAGTAACGGGACTTTGGAGATGAATCGTTCAGGTACAGAGCAAAATTTTACAAACAACGCAAACCTCAACTCTACTGTGCAGGTTTCTCCATATCGTCAGAATAGTCAATCATCTTGCCTAGCTACCTTACCACCGTCATCTTCAGTTAATTCTGTCAATGCAGAATCTGGAACATCTGAATCAAGTCTGACATCACTTTTACCTAATATTCTTTCTGAACTTCAGCGTGCAGAACTATCTGGATCTAATGAAGAATTTGAAAAGGTGAAATCACATGTTTTATCTGTACTCCCGACATTTGTGATTGGAGACAAGTTAAGTACACAGATTAACGAAATAGTCGATGAAGTTAATGATGCCCTATTGGACCAACCACTTCACGTTATACGAGCAGCTTTTTATACAACTCGCCCTTTTAATCGAGAAGAATTATACATGATTGATTTATTGGAACAGCAAATGTTATCTGAGTCTTCTTCTTTAACAGCTCCAAATCCGCCTAGAAGACGTGGTAGGCGTCCAAAATTGCAACAACAATTACAACCCTACCTTCAACGTATATTCTCCTTGGAGTCTGGTGCAGCCGAATCTATGGCATCGCATCTAGTGAATGCTTCACAAAAAGAAAAGTATATCAATCATTATGGTTATTATAGAAGTACTGGATTTGGAAGAGGTAGAGGTCGTGGTAAATCCGGTAAACATCCTCCACCTCCTCATCCGGTATCGAATGTAAAACCACCATCGTCTGATGGATCAATGTCGAAGAATAATCCTTATAATCAGTCGGTTTATCATCATCATAATTCAGGAGGATTAAACATGTGCACTAATGGTGTAGTGAAAAGAGGTCGAGCGGATAGTTGTTGTACACAAGGCGAATATTGTATTGAACAAATATCCGATGATATGCATTCTAGCTTTCCTAATGACATTAACTCTACAGAACAGTATCATAGTCGTCCAGGCGTAATGCATACTTCGAATCATCCGAATGACTTGCATACAACACATACAGGAATGTTTCTAAACAGCTATAATTATTATTCAACTAGATTTCACTGTCCGTCTGAAATAAATCGGCTAGATATGAGTAGAATATCCCAAAATTCCAATGAGGATGAATTGAATGAAAGTGAAGACGATACTCCTACTACTACTACTTTTAATAATAATAGTAATATGACACATCAATTTATGTATAATCAGAGTAGAACTGTAACTGATCATGAAGACCATAAAGGAAGGGATTATGAAATGCAGAACGACACACAGAATAACAATAATAATAATAGAAAAAATAGTTCACATAATGAAAAAGATTTCATGAGTCAAGATACAATTGGTGAAATGTTGGAAGATTTAGGCGTTATTGTACAAAAGATTGGAGAACGTGCTGTGGCAAGAAAACAGCATCATCATCAACATCATGCAGAAGGGCAACCTCTTAATCTCTCTGACTTTGGAGGTGGCAAACAACCTTGTGATTCTATGAGTAATCGGCATTTTTTTCACAGGAATGAAACAAATTCACAGTCTATCCAACTGCCGTCAATGGCAACACTGGCATCAGGTGGTGGTAGTGTAGATACACCTCCTAGTGTTGAAGAGACTAGTAGTATTTCAAATCCTGAAACTCCTCATATGTCTGCAGCATCCTATCATGCCCTATCATCTTTAAAATCATTTAATGCATATAATCAAACAGGTATGTCACTGTCAGATGGTGGTACTAAGAACACGGCAGTTCCAGGCAGTACATCTGCTAGTATTTCAAATACTTCTTCACAAGCAGTGTATAATTCACTAACGAATAATTATCATCGAAATGCACCAATGTGGTCCTGTGAGTCTATGTGTTTCTCATCTACTCGTGAAGATGAACTTAGGAAGTCAGATCAGACTCATATAACTAATAATTTTAATCCCCAGATGAGAAATTCACAGTCTACAAGAGACTACTCAAATAAACCGAATGGAGATATGCACCAAAGTTACTATCCAAAAGACTTAAGCACCAGAGTTCAGCCTTTCGGTTCTCGTTCTGACTCTATGCATCAGTCACAGCATTCACCGAAAGATTTCACCCGATCATCTGAATCTAATGATCCTAATTTCAATGATATCATATCTGGATCATTAAGGAATCATCATCCAGCTCATTTACCTAACAAGGTTTCATCAGGTTCTTTGATATCTACAGCTGAGGCAGTTGATCACTTACGTTCTCTGTCTGCTTTAGGAGCAAAGTATACAGCATGTCTTGAAATGCAACAAGAAGAAAGTAGATATCAGTCGAATCAACAACGTTTGTTTCCTGAAGATTATGCCTACAATCAGTCACGGATTCACTCATCAGATGCTTCATTGCGACGTAATCCTACAGAACAAGGCGGTGAATCATTAGTTTCCTCACAAATGTCGCATAACTCTGCTCGGATTCCAACATCAAATATCCTTGGGTATAATATGCCATCAGCACTGAACAATCTCCTTTATAGTAAGTGAATGAAATCTCAGTTTTGTTTTTGGTATTATCTTATTCTTATCATGTGATAATTAGAGAAATAATATGCCTTTATTTTCCAGTGATGGCCAATTTATTATTATTATTATTCCCTTAGGTTCCGAGTGGAATGAATATAGGGAGGGCTTCAATAGAACATTTTCATCTTGTCTAGTTCTCTTCTTTAGCCTCTTTAGCCAGCTCCACGACTACCCATAAGTTCTCATATCCTCTTCTACACACCATATCCTCAATGTTACCCTCGAACTTACGCTAAATTCGCTGTTCCCCATCCGGGTTCCACTCGAGGGTGTACCTGGCGCATGTCGCGTCACTCAACGATCTTCTCAATGTGTGTTCGATCCATCTCCATTTTCTTTGGAATATTCGTTGAGCAAAATAGGTATTTTCGTTGGTTCGTTTCTAAAGTTCCTTGTGGCTAATCCTTTTAAAACTGGCCATCAAATGTTCAGTATGGAGCTGTTACGTTGTAGTGTAAAAAGGAAAGAAGATGGGAAGTTAAACACATTAGTGTGTTTACAGGAAACCCACACACTCAAACAGATATTTGGATTTCCGATCATCCCATCCTATGTCAGTACAAAAATAGGGTTGGTGAAATGTTTAAGTAACAGAGCACAAAACTAAGTAGCACTAAGGAAAATCTAAGACAGGAGGTGAGGCATATAAGAGAAGCTTTGAAACTTAGTAGTTACCCTGATAAATTTGTCAGAAAGTATGTAGGAAAATGTAAAAATAAAATAAATAATAATAGTAGTGACAGTGTTAATAATAATAATAATGACGGCATGCATGTCAAACATGCGCAGGATAATGACAGCACCAACAATAAGGAATCTAAATCATCAATAGTAATTCCACACAAGGAAGGAGCCTCGGAAACGTTACGCAGAATTCTTAACAAAGCAGGAATAAAAGTGGCATTCAAACCCACAAACTCAATTAGAAACAAGCTTTGTCGGTTAAAGGATCCTGTAGAGCCTTTAAAACAAAACAATTTAGTTTATCTAACACCCTGCCTGCAATGATTATCAGGTCAAATACATAGGTCAAAGTAGTAGAACAGGGGCAGTCAGACTAGCTGAACATAAAAACCTAGCAAAATCTAGATTGGTTGACCCGAATAAGATAAGAAATCTAGAGAATAGTTCAGCTATAGCACTCACTACATGCAATTACACACAACCATACAATAGGCTGGATGGGATAAGATGACAGTTTTAAAATCTAATGTCACAGGGTGGAGGGGGAGATTGATAACGGAAGCTTTGTTTATCGAATCAACTGCAAATACGTGTAATAGGAATGATTCAACACCTGTCCACCCAGACATCTGGAAAATTCTACTACCCCTACGATGACAAATAGGAGAGAACAAAGAAAACTATAAAACTCAAGTTTCGAAGTCGTGTGATTATAATTGATATGATTATGAACAGTAATAAATTTTGTTCGAATCGTCATCCAGTAAATACTAATACTGTTTCACACAGTGAAACAGCGGAATTACTTACTACCACAGTGCCCAAGTTTTACACATATATTAAGAAGGGGAAATCTGTTGATAAAAGTCCTGTATTAACTTGTTGGAAATGCTTTTAATGACGCATTCGCCAAGTCTCTGACAAATATTGCTGAAAATCCGAATCTTGCTTTTTATGCTGACTGAGTGCAGCAGATTTCCACACTGACTTCAGATTAATGAAGGTTTACCTTGCTTTTCCGATTCTAGCTGACTTTGACATCCTCATCCGTGTGCCGACTGCCTGTATTTGAAACGATACCGCCTAGACAATTGAAAGAAGTGACCTCTTTCAAGCATCTCCTGTTGATAGTGGCTGGTGTTATCCGAACAATAGATGCGATGAATACAATACATGAGTAGTACTTTCGACCACCAGGCAATTTTAAATGTATGTGTGTTAATAAACCTCGAAAAAGTTACAACTAAAGTAATGTTATCATTCTGTGGCTTAACTTTCACCAACCATATACATATAAACCGTTTGTTGAAGAAAAAAATAATTCACCTTTAATAAAATGAATTACACTTTTTACGACGGTTCAAGTATTGAAGTAAAGTGTAAAAATATACTGCCTGGAAATGTTAAATCTAAATGTACAATTGTGAACATCATAGTCAAAAACGAATTTTCAACTCTGTGTATAGTCAAAAAGTTTCATGCTTGCATGTTTTAACTGTTTATTCTCCTAAACTCTATCTCACCCTTGTATAAGTCACACTTGAAATAGGAGAGAATAGTGAGGGATGATGGTACTTTTGATAGACAAAGTGTGTACTAGAGAGAGAGAGAGAGAATAACTTGTTGAAAGTTAATTAGTAAAGAATTCAGAATTCCAATACCTTTAGGAATGAGAATATATCTGCCTCATTGTGAACAAATCACCAAATTTTTATCTCCAGCTATCGATTTCTAACGCCCCAAAAGAGCTATATCTTACTATGTGGTTCATATCAACAGAGTCGATAATTTTATGGACCAGACACTACTCACTCTTCCTTAACATACTCTTAACTCAACCAACATTTCTTGTCGAGAAAGACTGTGACTCAGTATGTGTAAGATATCCATACGACTTGAGTCGGTCAAGATTCTCAACCCCATCGATTGATTTACGTTTGTTACTGAATACTATACATTTAATCTCATATTTCTTACCATATAGCCAAAACTAACGTCGATAATGTCACTAAGACATGTTATGATGCTCAAGTTGCATTCTGCTTATTATCTCTTCACTGGTTTAATGTATTGAATCAAAGAGGAGTAAGAATAAGATTCGAATATCCCATTGTTTATGATTATATGATTCCATAAACCGTCTTACTTTTATGTATATTTTAATACTTAATAAATCTAACTGGTTATTCAAATGTTGATTGGTCTCAGGATTTCATCATGAACTGATATCGGTTAGAGGACCGTTGGAAAACCTGTTAGTACTAGACAGGTGTTTTGCCCTAGTTTGGGACTCTTCATCAGTACGTGCCCACTGGGCTTCGAACCCAGGACCTCCTGGTTACAAAGCGAGCGAGCCAGTAGACCACTAAGCCACTCGGACCCGATCCAATGATCCACGAATTCCAACTTCTGCCAATTCATGATATGGCACAACCATTAACAAATGTCATCACTGGCGAGTATTTGTCCTCACACCCGACCTACTGCACCCCACTGGCCATGACTTCCCACTAGATCCCTGGTAACTACCCACCTGAATAGGACCAGCCACCAGTGAGCATCAGATGGATTTGCAGAGATTCGGTTGGTTTCAGGACTTCATCATGAACTGACATCGGTTAGAGGATGGTCCTCTACGAGCTCGCCTTGTAACCAGAAGGTCCTGGGTTCGAACCTCAGTGGGTGCGTACTGATGAAGAGTCGCAAACTAGGACGAAACAGATGTCCAGTACTCCCAGATTTTCCAATGGTCCTCTAACCGATGTCAGTTCATGATGAAATCCTGAAGTCTAATTGGATCGGTCGCTGGGTGGTAGTAATCAATCAAAGTATCCATTAAAGTCCTACAAGATGTTGGTCAACGAGCCTGGATAACTCAGTGATGGTAACCTCTGTAACTGCAGCACTGGGTGAGTGACCCGAAGATTTGAATCTCAGAAGGGACATGCGTTCCTTCGAGATCGTAAATACACCTTGCTGACTAGTGAGTGAGTGCCAAAAAGCACGAAACCTAGATCAGCTGGCTGGACGCTTCCTTCCGATTGCATCCAACCATCTAACTTAATAAGTCTACTGTACCGTCTCACCTAGTTTGGAAATACCAGCTTTGCTCAAGCAACTAGCTGCTAGTTTAGTTGTGCTTTTTTCTACCTGAAAACTTTACTCTTATCTTCAGTCGTCAAAAATTTTGTTTCCTTCAAGAGGTAATAATAGTATAGTTTGAGAAACTGAAACTAATCTTGACCTTTCGCTCTCTGTTTACATAAGTCGGCTAGAAAACTGATACTTGCTAACTCCGGTCAAATAAAATATCAAGGGTAAATAGGAAAAATCCACATGTATATGTTTCTAAAAGCGTTGATATCAGTGATATACATATTAAATATTTTTAATTTTCAAGTCTGAGCACACAGCGATACCAGTTAGAGGAACCACTGAGAACTAGGGACTGGTAGTCAATTGTTTCGCTATAGTCTGGGACTCTTCAGCAATGCGCACCCATGACAATGCACCAGGAATCGGACTATCCAGTACTCCCTACTGGTTTTCAATGGTTCTCTAGCTGATATCATTCTGTGATTAAAGTTGCAGTAAATCAAATCCCTACAAACTGATTAACTCTTGATAAAAACGTTATAAGTTGCTTAATTCACAAGTGAGTGAAATTTATGGTCGCAACAAGGTTTATACTAGTAGATATCATGAAATTAATCAATCATTTATGTAAATGTCATCTACTGTCTTTTTTAATAACTCCTTCCATCGTTGGTGTTGCTATTCTAGAAAGTGTGATATACGTTTATTATAGTTTTTTTTTATTTTTCAAGGAGCCTGTACACATGTACTACTTATCTCAGTAACTCTATCTTTCCTAATAGATAAACTAATACTGTCTTGAGAATTCCCATACTTTGACATCTTATATGCTGTCTATGATGTGATGTGATGTGATAGTGTTTGATATAATATTACCCATAAAAATCTAATCTCTGAATACTGTTAACAGTAACGAAATTTCAAGTGTTATATTTTCGTCACAAAGTGACATCAGTGGGAGAGAGAGATCATTGAAAGCCAGCACTGGACGACTGTTTCATCCTAGCTTTCGGGACTCTTCATCAATACACACATCCAAGAACCCACTAAGGACCTTCAGGTTACGATACCAGGCTCGTTGACGATTTAGCCACTTAGGCTAGAGTTCAGTGACCTGTGAAACAATGGTGATATTTAAGACAAGCAGAACAAATAGAAAGTACGAAGGAAGAT